GGGGACTCGGGTATATCTCACTAAGAAAGAGACAGGGCCAGTGTTTTGAAAATCAGAAGGTTGATGGGATGCCTGGGTGGCTCAGTCGGTTGAGCGTTGGACTTTGGCTCAGGTCATGATTTCACAGCTCGTGGGTTCAAGCCCCGTGTTGGCTTCTGTGCTGACAGCTCAGAGCCTGGAGCCTACTTCAGATTCTGTGTCTCCCCCTCTCTCTGCCCTTCTCCCACTCATGCTCTCTCAAAAATAAACATTAAAAATTTTTATTAAAAAGAAAGAAAGAAAGAAAGAAAGAAAGAAAGAAAGAAAGAAAGAAAGAAAATCAGAAGTTTGAGCTTTCCCAGCAGTGATTCAGTAACCTGAGACAAGGGAGCACTTGAGTCCTAGAACAGAAAGCATCAGGGACAGAGATAAAGGACAGAGCTGGGAGAAGGGCAGGACCAAATCAGATAGAGCCTCTTTGCTATGAAGGCAGTCTAAATTCCATTCTAATGGCCATGGGAAGTTGCCTTGCAAGTTTGAAGCAAGGGAGTGACTCAATCCAATTTGTGGTATTTTTAAATTTTTTTTTTAATTTTCAATTTTGAGAGAGGGGGGCGGGCACAGAGAGAAGGAGAGACAGACCATCAGCGCAGAGCCCCATGCGGGGCTCGAACCTGAGCTGAAATCAAGAGTCAGACACTTAACCAACTGTACCACTCAGGCACCCCAATCCAAATTGTGTTTTATAAAGATTGCCTTGGCTATCATGTCGTATTTTATTTGCCTCTTGCAAAAAAGTCTGTGATATGGCCCCTAAGCTATTTTACCTTATATACATAATATCAGATTTAAATAAGGTTTGTATTTGGTAACTTTTGCAAACTGTAGTACCAATCTTAAGAGAATTGGGGATAACTAGTTAGGAAAGAGCCTTAACGAGAATAAATTTGGTACTCCTAAGGAACATATCTAAAAGCTATACGTTATACTCCACAATAAACATGTTTGTATAATAGTTTTCAGTGGAGATGCACTTAATCAGTTAACAATAAATAAGCTTCTATGCAAGCAAGAAAGCTTTTCCAACTTTTCTTTAAACGCAAGTGCAATGACATGATTGTCTATGTAGAAAATCGAAAAGAATTGACAAGACAATTCCTGGAACTAATAAGCAATTACAACAAGGTTGCAGGATAGGAGATTAATATACAAAAGTCAAATGCTTTTTAATATACCAGCAATGAACAAGTGGAATTTGAAATTTAAAACACAATACCATTTAAATTAATACCCCCCCAAATTAAACTGTTAGGTATCAATCTAACAAAATATATACAAGGTATACATGAGAAATTCTAGAAAAATTAAATAGAGAGCTATTCCATGTTTTTTTTATTTTTTTTAACGTTTTATTTATTTTTGAGACAGAGAGAGACAGAGCATGAACGGGGGAGGGGCAGAGAGAGGGGGAGACACAGAATGGAAGCAGGCTCCAGGCTCTGAGCCATCAGCCCAGAGCCCGACGCGGGGCTCGAACTCACGGACCGCAAGATCGTGACCTGAGCTGAAGTCGGACGCTCAACCGACTGAGCCACCCAGGCGCCCCTTAGAGCTATTCCATGTTTGAGAGAGAGAGAAGAGAAGTGGAGGGAAGGGAGAAAATAGAGACAGGTGGGAAGCTGAAGATGAGGAACAAAAATCTCTTAACATGAGATGAGGGCTCACGTGCCTGGCTCACCAACCTTCCGGCATCCACCGAGGCAGTGCTTCCAGTTAACCTCCCGCTGGAGGACAGTGCTTGACAATCACGTATCAGAGTTTAAAGTACAGCACTATCCGTTCTCTGTTTTCCAAACATCTCAATGACCTGAATGGAAGCTACCTACTAAAGTGATATATAAGGCAACCTTCGAAATATATGATGTCTTTATGTATTCATTGATGTGGAACTCTACCACAATAATCACTGGATGAAAAAAACAAATTACCAAATGGTGTATTATAATATAATTCTCCTTTGGTCAAAAAAAAAATATTACAACTTATGTGAGTATGTGATTTTGGAAGAAAAAAAAAAGCCTGAAAGGAATTCTCCAAATATTAGCAGTGGCAATCTCCAAGTAGTGGGATTTAGTGGGATTTTTACTTGTCCTTACCCTCTTTCCAGAATCATCTAATTTTCTAACACCAAAAAACCTGACTCTCAAGGAACATTATTTAGTATGAAATAAAACATCCTTCACACCCAAATAAAACCATCTTCTATTAAATACTGAACTTCTTTTCTATATCTAGATATTTTGCTGATATCTAGTAAAAGTACACGTGAGGAAGAAAGTGAATTAAGAAGAAACACGATGCCCTACTGCCAAATTTCTAATATGCATTTTTTCCCTTCCTGGGCTCAGGGGCCATTCCAAATCCCCACCACACACCCATTCCCTCTTATACACCCCCCCCCCAACACACACACACACACACACACACACACATACCTGCAGATCTGCTCTGCACCCTGCCTACCTGTCCTAGTCTCTCTCCAGTCTCTCCCTGTTTCACTCTGTTCCCTGACTCACCGGAGTTCACAATAGCACCTTATCATCACCCTGAATCTCCAGTCAGCCTTGGTAACAATCCCCAACCGGAGGACAGCCCTAACATTCCTTCTCTTCCCCGTTCCTAGGCTGTCAAGTTCTACTAAAAAAAAAAAAAAAAAAAAAAAAAATGCTCAAAACAGATGGCCTGCACATCATATTCTTGCTTTCTCATCTCAATTGTTCTTCAAACTCTTCATTAACTATGGACTAATAGTTGCTTGCCTCTGTTTCTAACCTTCTGTGCTCAAGTGTTCCCTAACATTTATGGCATGAGTTGGCTTCCTGTCACTTTCCCTCACCCTTCCCCATTCTTCTCACTCCAACCCCAAAAAATTGTGGAACAGATATGTGCATAATTGTCCTCTAATTACACCTCAAAATGATTTCTCTCTTCATTGAATTCTTCTGATCTTTTGTATCAAAGGAAGAAACAATCTACCTCATTACCAAGTCTTTTATTCACAGTTTTGATCCAGCCATTCCTATTCTCTTTTAATCACAATTGTAACTGTTCCTTGATTTCTTTCCTCTCCCTTTCTCCTTTTTCCTCCTATCACTTTTTCTCCATACCCCCGTTCTCCTCTGCTTGTAGATCGTATATTTGGTCATGAATTCCCAACATTACAAAAATAGGCCTTGAGGTGGCTCAGTCAGTTAAGCATCCAACTCTTGATTTCAGCTCAGGTCATGATCTCTTGGTTCATGGGATCGAGCCTGCATTGGGCTCTGTGCTAACAGCTGACAGCACGGATTCTGTTTAGGATTCTCTGTCTCCTTCTCTCTCTGCCCCTCCTCCTCTCTCTCCCTCTCTCTCAATCTCTCTCTCTCTCTCTCTCTCTCAATATAAATAAACTTAAAAAATATATCTTGATCTAATTAACCCCTCAAACTACATCTTACCTCCCACATTTCCTTCATCTCCTAACTGAAAGTGTAACCTACAATTACTATTTCCACTTTCTCAATAACTCATTCCCTGACTCCCATGATTTGGCATATGTCACCAGCAAAAGTTGGCAATGACCCATGACCTTCTCAGTTCCCATTCTCCTTCACCTTGCTATACACATTAACCATCAAATATTCCCTCTTTGTCTAACCTCTTATCATTCCACTCCAGAGATTCTGTTTCCTCTCTTCTTACTTCTCCACCTTGTTATCCAATCTCTCCTTTCTGAACTCAGCTTCCTCATCAACCCACCGCAACCACCACAATCACCACCACTTTGTAGCATTCTGACACTGAGAGAATCCGCTCTGCACCCACAGCCTGGTCCCCTGATGCTCTATTCCCTTGGGCTCTTGGAGCCCTCTACTTTTAGACTTCTTCCTTCTGTACCCTGCACAGATATGAGCACTTCCCATAAAATTCTGTTCCTTGCCTACTTCACTTACCTTACACCATCTCATGTAATAGCCTCATTTCCTTTAACTTCAAATAACACTCGTGTTTGGATAAATTCTACTTCTTTAGCTTTTCTATCTCAAATTTTAGAATCACATTAAAAATTTACAAAAATAAAACGAACATCAGACTCCCTCTCACTGCAGTGACATTCTCCTGCTGAATTTTCTGTTTCTATGACTAGCACTCCAATTGTCCGTGAAAGCCAAGCTTACACCATCTGACCTTTCCCCTCCTGGCATCCCATGGTCCATAAGCCCTACCAGTTCTTTGGGAATGTTTCTATCTTCTCTCCTTTCCAGTGCCACTTCAACACTGATGTTGGTGTTCTAAGTATGCCTTACCTCAGCAATTGCTAATTCCTACATGTCTTGACTTCAAGTGCTTTTCCTTTACATTCCACCCTTTGTATCGATGCTGTATATTACACTACTTTTGTCACTCTTACTGTCTTATCCAATGAAGTTCAAACTCCTTAATCTGCTACATAAAGCACTTCATGATATGTCTCCAAACTGAGATTCCAAACCTTGTTTCCCATGTCTCTTTACTACTTCTTTCCAGCTAATAATATTATTTATCATTTCTGGAACATCCAAAGTGTCCTGTGTTTATGTTTTACTCTGGCTGAAATTTTCCTTTTTATCAATTCTTCTTATCAAAGCAGCTTCATCCTTGAGAGCCCTTTCAGTCCCTAGTCTCCTACAAGTCCTTACCAAATTCACTTTGATCACTTGAGTTGTCTGCTATACCCATCCATCAAGCCCATCGGTGCCTCCACTAAAGCATATATCCTAACCTGTCTTGCTGTAATTATGGGTTTTTTCTTCCCTAAAAGTGTAAAAGCCTTTGGAGGGCAAAGAGACTGTATTATTCATTTTGTATTACCCATGCTTATTCTATATTATTAACAAAATGTGGATTTAAGAAATGAATTAACAAAAGAAGATTGTCAATGGTTTTATGACAGTTTCCCTTAAATTAAGCACTTTTTGCTAATGTTGTGCCTTCTATAACAGGTGGTGCTAGAAGTAAACAGCGAATTTATTGTTGAGGTAATGTATATTAAAACTGTTTTCTCAATTTAAATTGAAAGAAAAGTGGAATTTTGTAATGCATCGTATATCAAAAATCAGAATACTGAAATCATAATCACTTAGTAAAAGGTAAGAGAAAGAACTTCTGCCAAACTAAAATAGCAATGGCAAACCCATACTTCTAAATATCCATGTTTTCAGGCATAGTTTGTAACAACTCAATGTCATAGTAACTCCTACTTTCCAAACTGTATTAGTAGTTTATTCATACATTTCTCAACTTAAAGAAGCACAGTAATACATTAGAATAAGAAGAAGATTTTTAGACAATTACACCATTAAGAAAGACAACCAATGGTCAATTTCCTCCTTTCAGCGAGGGAAAGATATAAAAATTATATATATATTATATATATATACACACAACTCAATAGAACAACAGAGCATCCGGTGCCATTAAGAGTGGGACTCGGGAAATAAAGTCCTTGATCTCTGGGAGGGCTTTATTTTCTTACAGTAGTTAAACTTTCATCATGATCAATCTCAAATCATTGAAGAAAATAAAATTACTTTTCTAATCCTGTTGATGAAGAGATCTCTGGTACTTTTCAGGAAGTTGTATCAAAATGGGGGGAAAGTGTATGAGCTTTGGTTCTTGAAAGGATAAGCTCCATTCACAGGGAACGTTTCCTTCCCCAAAGTGGTAATTAAATGAAGCATTAGCTTAAACAAACATTACAATCATTTAGGCCTCAATAAGTATATTAGGAGTCACTTAAAAATTTATTTATATATATGTATATATGCATACATTTATGCATGTATACAAATATGTTTATGCATGTAGTAACATTTCTAAACTCTTCAATACTTTAAAATTCTTAGACTTCCTCCAACAATAGTAACATAAGACCACAAAGAGAAAAACATATAGCAAGCAGGGATAAATAAGGACAACATTGAGAAGACACGTAGTTATCCATGGGATTATTGCAAGTACCATCAATTCAGTTAAAATATTCTTCTAATCCTACAATAATATATTTGGGTGCTTAGCCAGAGTGATGTCCTTACCAAAAGAAAAGAAAAAATCCCTTCCCTCTTTTAGGTGACCATACCCACCAGCACAATTTTCCTTTTGCATAGGATGAACTCAATGGAACACCAGCAATCTTTTCAACTCTGGAGATCAGAAAGCCTGGTCAGAGCCCAAAGAGGGGTGAGGAAAGATTGAAAAAAAAAAAAGAAAAAACACAACATATTATCCAATATAAACACATTATGAGCACGACACATAGCTAATGAAATTTGTTTCACTAGAATCATATAGTTACAAGTGAGATGATTCCAAAAGAAGTAGGTAGGCAAGTGACCAGGCTACATCCACCAAGGGTTTTGAATTAGTGAACACTTTCTTTGTTCCTCAAATTCAATACCTTTGCTTCTTCTGGGTGCACCTTACAATGTTGAATACATGTCCTTACTAAGTAAAACTGTCCTAACACTGTATAAAATGTGAACTATTTTTGCATAAGGTGAAAGAATTAGACATTGAAAATGGCACTACAAAATGGCAGACAGTCAGAAGACAAAAGCGGGAGTGGATCAAGTTTGCTGCTGCCTGTCGAGAAGGAGAGGACAACTCCAAGAGGAATCCGATTGCCAGAGTAAGTGAGGAAATGAACAGGAGTATGCGGTGCTGATAACACATGATTTGCAGGGCAGGAAAGCCCTCAGACATTTCGGGGATTTGCAGCCTTCACTACTCCACAGTGACTTAGGAAGAGGGGTGACAGGTAGTCATTTGCTCATGTTGCTGAGGCACTGTTTTGAATATTACCTTGTGGGAACTGATACAGAGCAGAGAGTCTTCGAGTGATCCTAGAAGAGAAACCTGGATCTCCAGCACAACTGGGCTTTATCTGTTCATTTGTGTCCTGCTTATCTGTCATAGGTACATGTTATAGAAAATTTATGCATGTAGTAATAATCTTCCGACTATCCCTCCCCCAGATCAAAGGTTTACAGTATTGATTAATTCTCTCCAAGAAAGGAAAGAAAGGAAGTGTCAAAAGTTCCCACTAGATTCCTATATCCAGAATTAGTAGAGCCTTAAAAAGTATTCCAAATAATGGTAATTAAAAAGGAAGGAGAGTGAAGGGAAGAAAGTGTACTAAATTGATCCAAGAAGGATGGGATCCACGTTAGCAGTTTCACTTGGTCTTGGGAAGGGGCATCTTGGCCTTGCCCCACTAATGAAACAGCAGAGCAGTCAACCAGAATTCTCTCCTTACAGCTTTACATTTATATATTGTTTGCATGTTTATATGAAGTTTTATCTATCTATAGTAAATATCAGCAGTGAGTGATATTACAGATACAACCTCCACTCTAGAAGACATTATTCTGTCAGAGGAGTATTCCGATTTTTGAAAATTTTTGGAAAGATTTAAATTGTTATTGTTTCCTTTCAACTCACAGTTATAGCTTTATGTTACTTCACTGTATGGTGTATTCTTTTCTTTTTATTTGCATTTGGGGATTTCCTGGATTTTCATCCAGATAAATAAGATCTCTGGAGTAGAGTGGAGCTACTCCAAGTTGTGTTTCCAGTTGTCTTTATTTAATTGTGGGTATTGGATAACAAATCTTAGTATTTTACCGAATGTTCTCATCTTTAGTATACAGGTGAGATTCCAAAATTTAAACTATCTTTGTTCAAATTTATGAGCAATAGATATAAAACGATTAAAACAAAACTTACATGGCAGAATATTTGCCATAAACTTCATTTGGCAGATGAGTGATATGGTAGGTTTCAATTCATAAAATTATTCCCAGTATCTCAAAACACTATATTTCTCTTGTGGTTTTCTTAAGTTATCTATAATTTTGATTAAATCTTTAAAGTCTAGTCAGGGTACATATCAATATAACACGATCCTTCAATGAGTACTAAAGACGGTGATTTCTCCTGTCAAACTCTTTATATGCAAAGAAAATCAGAGAATTGAACAATGTACCATTAATAACAGCAAATCTCCCATCAAGCATGTATGTGCCTTATGCCAGGCATTGGGGTGTGGTGTATATATGTTACCTCATACAATCCCCACAACAAACTTAGGATGTAAGTGGTATTATCCCATTATAAGCTGGTGCTTGGCAAAGTTAAGTGAATTTTCCAAGGTCACACAGGCCTAAATCATGGTGCCTTGTTTGAATCCAAAGCCCATCTGGCTACAAAGCTATTCCCTTCTCATTCTATTACACGCCACGGTTCATTATCCGCTTTAAATAAGATCACAATCCTAACCATTTTCCTCATAGATCCGATCAGACTGTGAAGCGAACCAGAAGATTACATACCGCATCTCTGGGGTAGGAATTGATCGACCACCTTACGGAGTGTTCACCATTAATCCTCGGACTGGGGAAATTAACATCACTTCAGTGGTGGACAGAGAGATAACCCCACTTTTCTTGGTAAGTCACAGTAGTGTTTTAACTTATGCATATTATTTTTCTTCCCTATTTAAAACACACTAAAGCTGAAGCCAAACATAGGGACCAAAGCAATGAAAAGGGTATGAAAACATAAGTTTATAGTTCAAGAGTGTTGCATAGATATGCCATCAAATGTCTTGATAATGTTTAAATTAATAAACTTTAATCTGTCTGAATTCACTAAGCAAATTGTTTCTTTGCATATTTCCTGAAATGGTTTTGATCATGTTACTTAATTTCCTTTGATAGAAAGAGACAGTTTTTCCCTCAACTCTCCACAGATCTATTGCCGGGCTCTGAATTCACGGGGTGAAGACTTAGAAAGACCTCTTGAGCTTAGAGTCAAAGTTATGGACATAAATGATAACCCTCCAGTTTTTACCCAAAATGTGTACACAGCCAGCATTGAAGAAAACAGTGATGCAAGTAAGTGGATGACACTACTTCTCCGCATTATTATCACGTCGATTTCTCTTGCTCTAAAGCTGTAGGAGACTGACACACAGGTAATTTAAAGATCAGAAAAAGTCAAACTTGTATTTTGAATAAGCCCCACAAGTTCTAACTTAAAACTGACCTAGAAAAAAAATCATATCTAAAATGCTACATATCCTCTTGTTTGTTTGTGGAGGATCCTTGTACATGTCATTTAGCAGGAGCTTAGCGCCTTCCTTAAAGATTATTACTGGTTCATGATTAACTTAAACCAAATGAGTTAACTGAAAAAGAAACCATGGATGCTTTCCATGCATGGAAAAGGTCTCTGTGCTGATCTATCCCACAAATTGTGGGCTGAAGCACATCAGAGAGTGACGGAGGGTGCATCTCCGACGGCAGCCATCAGGTCGGTCACAAAGGGTAATCTCTGGTTCTTCACAGTCTACACGGCAAGCCACATTACATTCTCTCTCTCTCTCTTTTTTTTTTTTTTTCACTTTTTCCATCCTGTTTAATTCCATCTCCAGCTCCAATACTCTCTTCTCCTTCTTTCTATCCCTTCTCCTGAATGTCTTTCCTTTCTATGCTTTTCCTATGTTGGTACTTCCCTTTGTTCTCCCCTCCCTTGCCTTCTGACCCTTGCTTTCCCCAATCCTCTAATATTCCTTTTTCTTTCATATCTATGTCTGCACATGTACCTCGAGATTAAATTTGAAAAAGGGAATATAAAAAAGGAATTTCAGAAAGAAAGACATATAGAAAGCAAACTAGAGGTACTAATGGACAGTCAAAGAAAGAAGGATGGAGAAGTTCAGAGGAAAAGAGGAAAGAGGCAAGAAGTACTGGAGGAGAGAAAGAAGAGGTAAAAAGGCAGGAGTCAAGAGGGGGTGTCTGGAGAACTTCTTCAGAGTCCCCAAAAGAATGATGTGGAAAATAAGAAACACAAAATGCTTTATAGCATAGGAGAAGAGGACATACAGAAGTAAAGTGAAGGTTTTGCCCCAGAGGGTCTCCAAAGCCCATCATTGTTTCATCACTAACATACTTCAGCATAACTTGGTGAAGGGAGGAAAGGTGAAGCCCGCCTCCAAACCGACACCCAAGTCCATGTCTACGTCCACGTCCACTTGGCGGCTGATTAGCAGTTTTATTAATGCTCCCTCAAGTGAGGAGAGTGAACCACAGGGCCAGGGCATATTTTCATAGACTATGAACTCCATGAAACCTGGCTTTTTTATTCAAGGGGTCCCTGGTTCTCTGTACTAGTTTTTCACTTTGAAAACTGGCTGGGAAGCAGAAAAACATCAGGGACCAGCCAGCTCTGGAAAATCTGTCCTAGGGGCTAATGTCCTTGGGGATTGCCTAGGATGCTGGTTCTTTGTTCCTATGAATAATCAACAACTTTTTCTATTCCTGTGGACAAATCTTCTTTTCAATAGTTATATGTTCTTGACTATTCAGTCAAGTGCTATCATCCTCCAAGGCAACCAATAATAATTCTCCATTTTCTGGATGAATGAAAATAAAGAATATAGGTGATCAATTAATAATCTTAACATTGAATTTAATTAAGCTATAATCTTTCTATTTTTTAAGTTTATTTATTTATTTTGAGAGACACAGAGTCAGTGGGGGAGGGGCAGAGAGAAAGGGAGAGAAAAAAATCCCAAGGCTCCACATTGTCAGCACAGAGCCCAATCTGGGACTCAAACCCACAAACTGTGATATCATGACCTGAGCTGAAATCAAGAGTCAAATGCTTAACTGATTGAGACACCCAGGTATCCCAAGCTATAATCTTTCTTACTTAAGCATTTTAAATTAATGTCACAAGACCACTGTAAACACAAATTGACAAAATCGGTTTTTCAGATTTATGATAAAGGCTATGGAACTTCTTTTTCATACATTAACAATTACTCTAGTTTGCTCCTGATTTACCATTTAGTCACTTAAGGAGTGTAAGTACTTTATATACTAAAGGATTTTATAGAGCAAACCGCCATTCCATTATTTTTACAATTAGTGGTGTAGTTTGAAATTATGGTAATACATTCTTGTGGAAAACTAAAACAGAAAATTCAGGGAAGGCCAACCACTCTTTCTTCCTATACCTGATGATTTGCTGAACTGATCCCAGCAGAGTCCCAAACATTCTTCACCTCCATCTTCATTTCTAGACACACTGGTTGTAAAGTTAAGTGCCACAGATGCAGACGAAGACAATCATCTGAATTCTAAAATAGCCTATAAGATCATCTCTCAAGAGCCAGCAGGGGCACCAATGTTCATCCTGAACAGGTACACTGGAGAAGTCCGCACGATGTCCAGTTTCCTTGACAGAGAGGTAAAGCCTTCTATGAATGAATGATAAGAAATAAAGAACTCAATTTTCAAAAGGCAAAGATGAAATGACCCAAGTATGCCTTTCCTCCAGTGTAAAGGAGGGAAGGAAAAATAATCTAACCATGACTTTTGAATGAAAATTATAAGAAGAAAAAAATTATATTAAAATACTACATAAAATTATAAAAGGAAATTAGGGGAACAATTTCAGAATGTGTCGTGTTTCATTCAACACGTGGTCTAAGGCTTACAATTCTTTTTCATTTTAAGCAACACAGTATGTATAATCTTGTGGTAAGGGGCTCAGATCGAGACGGAGCTGCAGACGGACTGTCTTCTGAGTGCGACTGTAGAATCAAGGTTTTAGATGTCAATGATAACTTCCCCACTTTGGAGAAAACTTCCGTAAGTTGTTATTTTTATAATCCTTTTCCCCTAAGTGTCAGTAACTGATTTGCTTTCCTGCTACTTTGTGAGCCTGGTTCTGTTATGTGTGTGGATGGACTCAGCTTTGCTGTGTAAACCTTGGAACTTATTAAGTATAATAATAATATACCTCATACAGTCAATAATATTGTACTCACGTTGTATGGTGACAGATGGTAACTAGACTTATTATGGTGATCATGTCACATTACATATAGACATGGATTTACTATGTTGTATGCTAAACGAAAATGATACTGTATCTCAATCGTATTTCATTACAAAATAGTAATACACCTTAATAGTGCATGCTTGCCTTTGAGTCACTGTTCTGTACAACCTGCATCTATGAAAGCAGCAGACCAACTCCTCCATACTCTCTACTTAAAGAAATGTGGGATTTTATTAACCTAATGCTGGGAATCATGTAACAATATTGATGTATCTTTATAGGCCTGATGTTTGCTGAATTAATTCTACAGGAGTCCCAAACATTTCCCACTTTCATCTTCATTTTAGGCACAAAGGAGCATAACATTGAAAATAGCAAAGCCAAATCTGGCTCGCCACCTATTTTGGTTAAAAAAAAAATGTTTTATCGGATCACAACTTGACTCATCCCTTTATATGCTGTCTGCGGCTGCTTTGATCTTACAGCAGCGGAGGTGACTAGTTGTAGCTGAGCTCTCTGGCCCACAAAGCCTAAGATAATGTCATCTGACCCCTCACAGGAAAAGGAGGGACTAACTTACAGAAAATTAAAAATAAGCAAGGAAAATAAAATAAAGTGCCAGTTTGACCTTGACTTCACACACAGCACAAGAAAATCAGTTTTATTATCTTATATTCCTAGTCTTATATTTCTAATTGAAATGTGTGGCCTTTAATAATGGTGCAAAAATTATTGACATAGTTTGTTGTTAGTATCTTAAGTGATAATTATGTATTAGTAAATATCTTTCCTCCTTTGAAACTTTATTGATTATAAAATTGATCCATGTCTTTTCAGTACTCAGCAAGTATTGAAGAGAATTGTCTAAATTCGGAGCTGATACGATTACAAGCAATTGATCTTGATGAAGAAGGCACCGATAATTGGCTCGCAAAATATTTAATTCTCTCCGGAAATGATGGGAATTGGTTCGATATTCAAACAGACCCACGAACCAATGAGGGCATTTTGAAAGTCGTCAAGGTACAGTTTGGGACCTGCAGTATTTTCTTCTTTTTTTAAAGTTTATTTAGTTACTTTGAGGTGGGGTGGAGCAGAGAGACACAGGAGAGAGAGAATCCCAAGCAGGCTTCATGCTGCCAGTATGAACTCCACAAGGGGTCTAATCCCACCAATCGTGAGATCAAGAGTCAGATGTTAACTAACTGAGCCACCCAGGTGCCCCTGCAGTATTTTCTTCTAAAGAAGTTTTAATTTCCTCTTCCAGACAGAATCTTGCTACCAAAAAAACACTCTATAACCTTGAATACTACTTACATGACTAGTGCCCTAAATTAGCTCACTATGTCGGTCTGAGCCTTCCAGCTCAGCAACACGCTCTTTGTTACCAAGAGAAGTAAGAATTAAGGAGGCTGTCTTGTTCTCACAGTGCCCAATATCTAGTTAAGAAAACAAGGCATGTACTCCTGAATTAGATAATAAGACGAGTTAAAAACAAAGAAGTGCTTGTACAGATGTTATAATGTTAAACATAATTAATGGCTGAAAGGGTGAAACATGAAATAATTTCTAAGAGGTGAGGTCTTTCTGAGTTGGGTTTGTCTGAAAAGGTTTCATGCAGAGAAGACGGTGTAAGCAAGACCTTACAACTGAGATTGCTAATGTGAGAGCTGAAATGAGCAAACAAGTTGAGGGGAGGAAAAGGAAAGCCTGCTCAGGACACCACGAGCAATTTGGGGGGCTGTATCAGATGTTCGTGGAGGGAAACAATGAGATGCAAGAGCGAAGATGATGATTAGAGTTGGGTCTGCTGAGAACCTTGAATACTGGAATGTAGGGCTTGACTTTTTCCTACCGATTAATTTTTCTTAAACTACTTTATGATTTATGGAGCAATAAATCTAATCTGTCTTATGGACAGCAATAAAATCTAAAACTACAAATAAGAAACAACTAAAACTACAAACCAATAAGATTTAAATTAACATTGATGTGATCGGGGAACTTAATTTTTTCCTTCAGCAAAATCAGTACAAACAACATAAACAGAACTCATAGTTATGAAAGTATATACTGATAGACACATGCACACATTTAATTTGGTACATAGTGACCTGTAATTATTTCATTCCGTTACTACTTTTCCTTATTCCATTTACCATATATCAGGAAGCCTGATATAGCCTCCCTCTAATGCAAACATATCATTTCTCTATACAGTCCTTCTGTTCTCTTTGCAATTTTCTAGAGCAACTGAAGTATTACTACTTTACCACAAAACACTAGCACTGAAATCATGCAGTGTATTAATTTATGGGGTTGTAATCAAAATTATGGAAAATGTCTATGTATACTTTCTAAGATTGTCATTCAAATGAACCCACAAAATTTCAAAATTTCTTAAGAGAACACAAGGACTCGAAGAATATACCAGAGCTTTCCTATTTGAGAAACATTGCTTGAGGCCATAGGTCAGCAGACTATAGCCCATGGACTATAGTCGCTTTTTGCACATAAAATGTTATTAAAAAACAACCACACTCATTCATTCATTCACTATTTTCTACTGTTTCCACACTACTGTTTCAGCTGTTTCCACACTCGAATGGCTGAGTTGAATGTTTAAGACAAAAACTGTATATGACCTCCAAAACCTAAACTATTTACTCTCTGCTCTTAACCAAAAAAACTTTACTAATCCCTACTTATAGGCCAAGAAAAGTTTTGGGATTTTTTTTTTTTTCAATAGCAGTCACACTATGAGCTCAACTCTGGAAAGAATAAAATTAAGAAAATAATTATTATATTAATTGAGTCCTAAGGTAATAAGAACCTTATTTAAGACAATAGCAGTAAAAATGGAAATGAGGGAACAAGAAAAACAGCCATTGCCAAATTAACATAGATAAGGAAAAGAGAGACAAAAGGTCACTTACCATCTTATCAAATTCTGAATATTTAGTCAAGTTTGTTTTCAGGGATAGAATTTGTTCAACCTTGCATCTCAGCTAAAAATCAAGATCTAGACATGTCAGATAATTCTTACCCATCTTCTTACCATCTTAATCATTGACTTAGCTTCTTAGCTTATAGCATGTCTCTGTTCTTTGCTTTTGGTCTGTCTCTGAAACTACTAAAAGACATTGTAAGAGCTTTGCATATAAACAACTTGATCTAAATACCTTTCCATTCCTAGCATCCGGCCCAGTGTTCAGAAGATAGTAGAAACTCACAAAAAATTGAGGATGGTGAGGCTCTCACCCAAATGCGAGTCATCAAGCTTGACTGTATAATTCATAATTTCTAAAAAATTATAAAACTGAAAAAGAAGACATGTTCAGAATGCGGGCAATGCACTATTACTTACGTAATGTGTCTTCTGTGAGAGCTAAAGGGTTTTGGGTTTCTTAAATATACTCAGTTCATCACACACACACACACACACACACACACACACACACACAACTATGGGAAATTCAAGTTCATGAAAAATCGGTCAAGACAGTATTAGATGTTATGCAGTGTCTATCTTTCTTTCCTGGATGATAACTTCTCAAGTCCATTAAAGAAAGCAGAAGGGCACCTGGGTGACTCAGTCGGTTCAGCATCTGACTTCAGCTTAGGTCATGATCTCCCAGTTTGTGAGTTTGAGCCCAGCGTCGGGCTCCGTGCTAACAGCTCAGAACCTGGAGCCTGCTTCAGATTCTGTGTCTGCCTCTATCTCTGCCCCTCCCCACTGCTCCCACTCTGTCTCTCTCTCTCAAAAATAAATTAACATTAAAAAATAATTTTAAAAAAAGAAAGCAGGAAAAGTATGTTTAAAAACATCAAAATAATATGGAAAGGCTAATTAAAATGATATTTAAAGCCTCAGTATGTATTTCAGGACTTAGCCACTATGTATTTAGAGAACATATGTGTCGAGTTCCAGAATTTGGCATTTGGAACAAGGTCACTAATGTCCTGTACCCTCTCCGTTTTCACTCAAGCTGCTATTTAACCTCATGGAAACTGGCCTCTTAGTCATGGGCTTTTGACTGAGCTTTCTATAACCCTTTTCTTAGTCTAAGGATTGAGAACTGCTATGTGCTAGAGATATGAAGGTGACTAAGACATGGTCCTTGTTCTCAAGGAACTTGTAGTTTAACAAGAGAAAATCTTTAAGAAGGTAAAAAAAATTTCTCTTGTCAATAACTTCTTTTCACTATTTAGCAATACATGTATACAGAAAAAGTAACAAATAATATGTGTGTGTGTATACACATTCATTTCAACACTGAGAAGACAAGCAAAATATTACAATTGGAATTCTAACAAAGACATATTGCTTCTCTATTTTTATAATAATTTTAATTAATGTTTATTAAGCAGTCACTAAACACCAGCTAGTCAGTCATACTGTGTATACAGAGGTTTTAAAACCATCACAACTCTGGGAGAAAAATATTTTGATTGTTTTTTTATAGAAAGTGAAACAAAATCAAAAGAGGAAAACTAACTTGCCTTAAGTTCAGCCAGGTGGCAAATGACAAAGACAAGATCCAACCAGAGCTCTCTGATTCCAAAGTCATACTTAACTGCCCCCTCCATGCCTCCCCGTGTAATCCGGGGCCAGTCAAACAAGTTTGAAGCAAGAACTAGTACCTTCAGACATCTCCCTCTGTTCACCTCTGTGCCCCTTCCCAACTGCATGTGCCCTGCTCATGTCGCCCAGACACACTTCCACCAGAAAATGTCAATTCCTAGAAAGGAGAACATACACACCCTGGCAGATATTTAACAATTCCCTCATGGGGAATTGCCATGGAAAAACTGCCTGTTTTGTATACACACTGCTGATCTACCTTTTTCCATACTTAATTCTAAAATGAACCGGCATCCCCTCTGGGAAATAGCAGGGTCATGTTGACCTAAACCAAAACCAAAACCAAACATACAAAATTGCATGGGAGACTCTAACAGCTTAACTTCTCTGGGGCGCCTGGGTGGCTCAGTCGGTTGAGTGTCCAACTTCGGCTCAGGTCATGACCTCATGGTCCGTGGGTTCGAGCCGCATCGGACTCTGTGCTGACAGCTCGGAGCCTGGAGCCTGCTTCGGATTCTGTGTCTCCCTCTCTCTGCCCCTCCCCAACTCATGCTCTGTCTCTCTCTCTGTCAAAAATAAATAAGCATTTAAAAATTTTAAATTTTAAAAATTTAAAATTTTTTTTAAATAGCAAAAAAACCTGCCAGAAGCCAAATCTATTTCTGGATGGGTCATCTTCATTCTGAGCCCTTCCTGAGCCCCCTGTAGACTCTCTAAGACTAGCTCCACCCTTTTAACACATATCAGCATATCCTTTATGAGTATTCTTCAGTCAGGTCTTCAACCACAGAAACTTGATTCGTTCCAGCCTCTCTCTTCTAACTCCAAGCAGAGACTCGTAGTTGTTTTTATTGCTTTTTGCACAACCCTGACCTCTGCACAATCGCAAAACTCTTGATAAAAGATCCCATTTGCAAAGAATATTAGAGAGGCTTTCTGTCTTTCCTCTGCTTTTTATCTTCCTTACTGGAGGGAAGATTAGCTCCCCAACCAATTTCCTCACACCATATTCTGTGAACATCTGTAATTGACACAACATTATACACATATTAATATTCTCCCCACCCTCTATTCAAAAGGGAGAGAACTATTCTAACAAAGAGCACATACGTGTGTATGCACCAAAAACTCCAAGAGATTTCTCTACCTGAAAAAAAGAATCTCAGATTTTTCATTTGTTTAAAGACAGTGTGGAATTCTAGAAAATAAAAACTGAGTTGTAGAAGAGAGGTCTCTTCTGGTTGAAAATCTATTTTTGAGAACACCATTCATAGTCAGCTCTGTGCTAGGCATTGTGTGGACCAGGGAGGGGACAGATGTACAGAAGACTCAAAATCCCAAAACTGAAGGATTTGAGCTGAAATGTAAGTAAACCATAGTGAGCCAGTCCCAAATAAGGACCTAACTGAATTCCTGTGACTATTTCCATCTTATTAGCTCTTGTGAAGAAATTAACTAAAATTTACTGAGAAAATATTTATGATGTCATAGAATTTCCTTGAGAAGCAGAGATTTACCTCAGGGTCTTATTGATGGCATTGTTATGTCAACTACTGTTGTTGGCAAATGTGATATAAGGGATGCTACGTTATCTTCCGGAACACTTCTAAACAGTCTTTGTCCAGGACTCCCTTTTTCACAACTGCTTTTTCACTTGTTGTATAAGAGGGAACTCTTCCAACTGAAAATCCATTTTTTTAGTACACAATTCACAGTCGGCTTTATGCTGAATTGTTGGTGGTGACTTTTCATGTCACCACATCAATCATTCGGGATCAAAAGATTCCATTCACCTTTTATTCAAACAACCCATTTTAAAGGTGACTTTTCTCTGGGAAAGCTATTTGCTTATTTGAATGTGCCCTGTGAAGAAATCTTCTTGTCCACCAGACCCAGCACAATTAAATTATAGTTTAGGGCTGCATATAATAATCATGAATTCTCCTTTAGAAGTTGTTTGCCTCATTTTTTTTTAAATTACATGTTCAACTATACTAATAAAGCTCCCTTATTCTGCTGATTTCAAGAGCTTCTTAGATGTGAATTCTACAAAGAAAACCTGGGTCCTATTTATTCATTCACCAGTTGTGAACATTTTTTTATTTCATTCTAAGTTTATTTTTCATTTTTCTCATTTGGAAAGAAATCATTTTGACTTCAGGGTTTTTATATAAGAAGCCTGAGTCCAACCTAAGTCACAGGCCTAAATGACCTGTGTAGGTATAAATGACCTGTATACCTGCTTATGCCAATAGATAAAGGGAATAACATGTCTGAAGTGTCTAATGCAGTAATTAATAAAGTTTTATCAATTCAAAATCTGAATAACATAACTCCTGGAATTCACTCTAGCATGTTGCTTTCTTATCATGGCTACTTATTCTACCAAAAGAGAGCTCTTTTGTCTTTTCAGAGTTTTTTACTTTCTATCATTTCAGATGCTGGATTATGAACAAATGCCTAATATTCATCTTAGTATTGGAGTTAAAAACCAAGCTGAATTTCACCACTCAGTTGCTTCTCAATTCCGAATGCACTCAACCCCTGTGAGAATTCAGGTTGTTAATGTGAGAGAAGGACCCACATTTCATCCAAATTCCATGACCTTCAGTATTCGAGAAGGAATAAAAGGAAATTCCTTATTGAATTATGTGCTTGGCACATATACAGCTATAGATATGGACACAGGGAATCCTGCAACAAATGTCAGGTACCACAAATACTGTGCTCATATCAAAGTGATAAAATGTGGTTTTGTCCAGTGTTAGTTCATATAGAATGTACTAGTGTATGTGGGTTGAAATACGTCTTGAGTTTTGCAATATGGACTCCAAAAGGTTAGAATGGTAATTGTGTACAGGGAGCAACTATAAGGTCAAAGAACTACTAGGAGATTCTGACTCCCTGAGTCTCTCTGATCTTTTTGTGGCCAGTTGTTACCACCCTGGCCCCAGGCTGAGTAAGCCATATTGTAAACTATAAGACCTCATAAAAGATGAGTCACAGCTTGTTTCCTTAAAACCTGTTATCTAATGACTCTGGGACTAATTTCAACCACCAGCTTAAGAGGAAGAAAAAAGATAATAGAAACTAAAACACAGGTGTTTTAGAAATTTGATTGAGTATAAACTCAGAACTGGAGAAGTAGAAAGGTAGGCATTAGAGGCACTAGGTACACAGATTATACATGAATTAGATCTATACAAGATATTCTGGAAAATGACTAGTGAAATATGTAAGTGTATTCTCCTTCCTTGTCTCTCTTCTTTCCTCCTCCTAATATTTTTGGAGTCAACAGTCTATTGATTTGTAAATTACTTTGATATTAACAATTTGATTACTTAATAGGTTAACAAATAGATAGACAACAAAAATTATGAAGTCTATCAGTATGGGATAGAGAAAAAGGATGTGTCAAATAAGTGCCTTGGACACTTGAAATTGTACCTGGTACAGAGGCCAGATCTTCTTTCAATAAGGTCGAGCATTTTGAATACATTATATTATTATATTATATTATTTGTATAATACTAAAACCCATAACAGGCCAACAGCAAGGTACCCTAAAACTAATACACCTTAAAATCTAGGAAAAACGAAGGGCACCACATGTAAAAATGAATAAAGTATATTCCCTCAGTAGATATTGCTACAATAAACAAACCTGAAAGAGACTCATACATTTTACTAACAATTATATTAAGAGCTAGAAGAGTAAGAAGTATGAAATTTTAAAACTCTGTTGTGAACCTGTGTATTAATATGTTCAACACTAAAATTTTATTGATATATATATCAATATATATACAATTATCACTGTAAAATATACAAATACTATATTTAAGTTTAATGCATTGCATGTGACTTAAAATCATTAACTTTCACATAAGCAAATGATGAACTTATTTATTTAAAAACAGGTATATCATAGGACATGATGCAGGCAGCTGGTTAAAAGTAGATTCAAGGACTGGTGAGCTACAGTTGTCTAGGGAATTTGATAAGAAGTCAAAATATATTACCAATGGGATATACACAGCGGAGATCCTGGCTGTAGATGGTAAGAAAATTTATTTTCAATATTTCAATAAAATTATTGTTATTCCATTAAATATAAATGTAATTCTAATATTTATAGTAGATTGACTCAAATAACATATTTAGTGTGTCTGCAAGACTTACAGAGAGTTCTAAATACCTTAGATCAAGAACTGAATTCAGTCCACCCATACCATTATTTACATTTAAGCATAATTTATTTTACCTACTTCCAAAAAAGAACAGTATGTGGCTTACAGCAGAAAGCATAAAAGTTTAAGGCTATAAATAAAATTCAATTTCTGCTTCTGGCCTCATTTCTTGAGATGCTTCATTCAACTTTCAGAGTATGTTAGGAATGTTTACGTAAAGGAAGCACTACAAGGTGTATGCAAAGTTCATTTGGGAATGACCTAGGAGAAAGTCAGTGTCCCAGAGTATAGTTATTTTAGAACCACTAAAACTGAGCTACAACGAGAGGCCTGTGTAAGTGCTGCTTGAGTAGACATGTCCAAAGTAAGATGTTAAAGCACAAGGTTATTCCAAATAGAAGAGCCAAATTAAAAGTCATAAGAGCAGATGCACTGAACTAACTTGTAACTGAGCTGCTTCTCACGGGAAAAGCTATTAAGCATTCCTTTTTAGTGATAGCAACAGGAGTTTATTTATTTACCAACAGTTAATCATGCTCTGAACAGTGCCTAGGTAACCAGCTACTACAGAACAAAACAGAAAAAGGTCAGTAACTAGAAAAGAAGAAAGAAAATAGGTGTTCTAGATATACACCTAATAGAAGATAGATACTGTAGGTTTGCATTGTTTATGTCTGAGCTCTACAGTAGCCAAAGAAAAAGATAAATGGGCAGTAAAAGATTTTAAAAGAAACCGTGATAATCCCCAAGTCATTATAGTCCATACATTCTGGTCTTCATTCTGTGTCACTTCTAACACCTGCGTCAGTTATAGAAATATTATAGTCTTATTTGTTATCAGCATACTAGAAAGCCACTTCCTTAAAAGGACTCTAACCATGTTGATCACAGCCTATCTTTGCATGTTGGTCATATGTGAATATCTTCAATAACTAGAATAAAAATTAGTCATCAAGTGATAAAGAGGGAGAAAAAAAACTGTCAAAATGTATCAACAGAAAACTAAAACAAGGGCTATTGTTTACTTGCCTAAGCAGAGTATCTGCATAGGCACAAGCCATCCAGATGGAAAAGTGAACTAAAAGTCCAGATTCAAATTTCTTGCTCTTCTGCCCTTCTAATTAACTATATTGACCAAAAATTTGTTTTGAATGGGTGAGGGAAAAAAACCTCATAGATTTATATTTGTTTTCAGAAGTGCCATTTCAGAGAGAAATAGCATCTAATGGATGGAATTAAAATAAATAGTAAAACAGAAAGAAAAAGCATACAGACAATTCTTTAATTTCAATTGTGGTTATTTTCCTACAAATACAGAAATCAATCAGCATCCTGAATGGAAGGCTCTAGACTGGACTGGGAGTCTTGTTTATGGGGACAGCATGAGACTAGAAACTGTAAGCCTGTTTTGAAGGACATTTAATTTTGCATCTTGGGATGTGTAGGAGTTGGCTGAATGAAATGGAGGTGAAAAACATTTTGGGAAGAATGAATAGAATGCACAAGAGTCCTGGGTTAGAAGAAATTTGTTTCAAGAATTAAAAAGAAACCAGTGTGGCTGGAAGGTAGTGAGCAAAGACAAGAGTGGCTTCAGGTCATTGAAGTAAGCAGGAACCCATCATGCACCACTTCAGGAGTCATTCATGCTATTCCTCTATGTTGTGGCATCATCATAGAATATAAGAAAGGATTTTCTCCCTGACACCATTTACCCCAATACTCATGATGCTTTGCTATTTCAGATGGCTCTGGGAAAACAGCAACAGGAACCATATGTATCGAAGTTCCTGATGTTCATGATTACTGTCCAGTCATTTTTGCTGAAAGTAAATACATCTGCATTGCCTCTCCATCGATCCTTATCTCTGTTTATGATCATTCTTACGGGGCTCCCTTTACCTTCTGTGTGGCTGAACAGCCACCAGGGACAGCTGACTTATGGGATATCAGATCAATAAATGGTAAGTGGAATCCAAACTTGCTCAAACTTTAAGACCAAAAGCAAAAACAATTACCAAATAATTAGGCAAGTTATGTAATACTTTCTATCTCTGTTTCTAAGATTCTTGCCATATTCATATTAAATGAGAAAATCTTTCATATTCACACTTAGGATATTTGAAAAAAATTTAAACTGAAATAAAAGTAAACATGTTTTATCAATACTGCAATTACAAATATTAGTACGTAAATATCAGTTTATTTGCCATTTCATATGGTGTGCTAAACCAATATTTGAACAGTTTGAAATAGAGTCCTTCACTAACTCACCATATGTCGTAATTCCCTACTCTAAATTATTTCAGGCAAATCACTTAAAAGTTTCTGCAACTCAAGTATCCCATAGATACGATTACATATTTTCTAATATCATAAGATCAATGCACATAAGTTCAATGAAATTTTTTTTAGAAATAATGATGAGCTCAGACTCTGTAAAGGTAAAAATTTAAATCCGAATTGCTCAATATAAGAAGAATGCTTAAGCAAACAGTAGTACATATATATTATTAAGGTGTAGTACACACGGAATTAAAATTAGAATTATGGGAGAACTGGGACGCCTGGGTGGCTCAGTTGGTTAAGTGTCTGACTTCAGCTCAGGTCATGATCTCACGGTTTTTGAGCTCAAGCTCCGGATTGGGCTCCGTGCTGACAGCTCAGAGCCTGGAGCCTGCTTCAGATTCTGGTGTGCGTGTCTCTCTCTCTGCCCCTTCCCCACTCATCCTCTGTCTCTCTCTGTCTCAAAAATAAGCATTAAAAACAATTTTTTTTAAAAAGACAAAACTTAAAAAAATAAAAAATTTGCAAATTAAAAAAAAATTATGTGAGAATTTAGATACAAGGAAATACATAAACCAAAGTACTTAAAGAGTAAAGATACCCAAGGAATATGTATGTTTGTGCTAACTGTTGCTATGTAAAAATAAATGCCTGAAATTGATTTTTAAAATGAAAGTAAATTTCAGAGAAGATAACGTTTTACATACCTTAGGTTCTATTTCCCTGAGATGTTAAATATACATAGAAATGAAATGCCATTAAGAGGACCTCATTTGGGCTACAATAGCTCCCTAATCTCATATTCATTTGAGGCAACAGTTAAAGATTTTTAGAGGGGTCAGTCCTCAGAGAGTCCCATCTCCCAAGGCCACTAAGCTTTTCCATTCGTAGAATGGAGAAACCCTAAGATGATGCCAGAAAACAGACCACCATTAAGCACTTAGTCAAAAGAGGAAATTAGGCAACTTGTTTTCATAATAAAACCTTTTGGCTGTTTTCCACAAAATCATTTCAATATTTTAAAAAGTTAAGCACATTAAAGTAACCCCATTAAAAATCAAGACAACTTTTGGCGAGGATGTGGAGAAAGAGGATCCCTTTTGCATTGTTGGTGGGAATGCAAGCTGGTGCAGCCACTCTGGAAAACGGTATGGAGGTTCCTCAAAAAAACTAAAAATAGAACTACCCTATGACCCAGCAACTGCACTACTAGGCATTTATCCCAGGGATACAGGTATGCTGTTTCGAAGGGACACATGCTCCCCCGTGTTTATGGCAGCACTACCAACAATAGCCAAAGTTGGGGCGCCTGGGTGGCGCAGTCGGTTAAGCGTCCGACTTCAGCCAGGTCACGATCTCGCGGTCCATGAGTTCGAGCCCCGCGTCGGGCTCTGGGCTGATGGCTCAGAGCCTGGAGCCTGTTTCCGATTCTGTGTCTCCCTCTCTCTCTGCCCCTCCCCCATTCATGCTCTGTCTCTCTCTGTCCCAAAAATAAATAAACGTTGAAAAAAAAAAAAATTTAACAATAGCCAAAGTAGGGCAAGAGCCCAAATGTCCATTGATGGATGAATGGATAAAGAAGATGTGATATATATGTATATATGTATATATATGTATATATATATATACACACATATATATATATACACACACACACAATGGAGTATTACTGGGCAATCAAAAAGAATGAAATCTTGCCATTTGCAACTACGTGGATGGAACTGGAGGGTATTATGCTAAGTGAAATAGTCAGAGAAAGACAGAAATCATATGACTTCATTCATATGAGGACTTTAAGAGACAAAACAGATGAGCATAAGGGAAGGGAAACAAAAATAATATAAAAACAGGGAGGAGGACAAAACAGAAGAGACTCATAAATATGGAGAACAAACAGGGTTGCTGGAACATGGCGGGAGGGGGGATGGGCTAAATGGGTAAGGGGAACTAAGGAATCTACTCCTAAAATCATTGCTTCACTATATGCTAACTAATTTGGATGTAAATTTTAAAAAATAAAAAATAAAGTTTAAAAAAAAAAGAAACAAAAATCAAGACAACTTTGAATTCACCCTTCCTATGAAGTCCAATATCCCATTGGTAAATAACAAGTACTAACCACTTTTTCCTCATTAAGATCCTAGATATTATGAGTAAAAATTTAAGAAAAAAAAAGGTTCTATGTGGAGGTTTGTAAAGGTATTCAAATTATATAATAGATTTGCCAGTAAAAAAATATAATCACATTGGAGAGAATATTCCTAGAGTCCTGTTTCAATGTTGGTGTTAAAGAAAGGAATCAACTTTCACTTAATGTGCTATGGCATCACCTCATTCAACTCTTTGTGCATAGGCTATATTTTGGTAGACATAGCTGGCTTATCATATAGCTAAATGAAATTAATAAATAATACCTATAATTATTGCATGTTATGGATTAATCAATTAATATTCATGATTTAGGTGTACACTTAATCATCTCTAAGCCCTCCTTGGGTTGATAAATAAATTTCAACCTATGTTTTAAACAACAGTTTCTATACAAATTGATAGGCAATGGTAACAAAGAATTAGGAAAATAGTTATTGGAATAATTTAAATTTAAATGATAGGACAGTGATTTTGAATAAGAGATAAACAATAGTCTTCAGGAGGGTATTTGCAAACTGTAATCCTAAATAGAAAACTTCCAATATTTCCTTTCAACTCAATATTCTTCATTCACTGGACAAATATTTATTGAGTACACATAATATGACAAATATTGTTGTTTTGGAAATAAGCAACAGGATCCCAGCCTGCTTCATAGAAATAACAATTCAGGGATGCCTGGATGGCTCAGTCAGTTAAGTGTCCAACTCTTGACTTTGGCTTGGGTCATGATCTCACAGTCGTAGCGTTGAGCCCCCGTGCCTGGTTCTCTGCTGACAGTGTGGAGCCTGCTTGGAATTCTCTCTATCCCTCCCTCTCTGCTTTTCCCTCTCTCTCTCTCAAAATAAACTTAAAAAAAAAAAAGAAATAATTAAGCAGCAAAAAGTATTGAACAATTCATTATAAATGTTTAAAAATTAAGTATAGGATGCCATATGACTAAGAGAGTATGAAAAACTCAGGCCCTGGGTTAGTCTTGGGTATTAGGAAGCATTATTCCAAGGAATTCCAATTTATTTTCTTTTTCCTCTCTTTCTTTTCAGCTACTTCTGCAATCCTGACGGCTGAGCAGCTTTTATACGCCACAGTTTACCAAATCCCAATCATCGTGAAGGACAGCTTTAACAGAGCATGTCAATTGCCACAGATTGTGGAGTTAGAGGCCTGTGATTGTGACTACAACCACATATGTTTGTACTCTAGTACCACAGGCATCAACACAGGGGATGGCAGCTCGGTTACCAGTGATATAGATGGGACCATCACTGAAGACCAAATTGAGGGTTCAAATGTTGGTCTTGGACCAACAGGGATTGGCATGATTGCCCTGGGACTCTTACTACTGCTTTGTAAGTACTGGATTGAATCTCCCTTTTCAGCACTTCTTCAAAATAAGAATGTAGGGGCGCCTGGGTGGCGCAGTCGGTTAAGCGTCCGACTTCAGCCAGGTCACGATCTCGCGATCCGTGAGTTCGAGCCCCGCGTCGGGCTCTGGGCTGATGGCTCGGAGCCTGGAGCCTGTTTCCGATTCTGTGTCTCCCTCTCTCTCTGCCCCTCCCCCGTTCATGCTCTGTCTCTCTCTGTCCCAAAAATAAATAAACGTTGGAAAAAAAAAAAAATAAGAATGTAACCAGGCTCACTGGGATGCCTAGGTTCATTTGGCCATTTCTTTTTGGTATCTATAGCAATTCTTGTGGGAATTTGGAAGTAAACAATGGGGCTACTAAGGGCATGTGCTTGTTCAATAGTTACAGTTAGAGTCAGTGAGGGTCATAAAGATGAAAAACACAAGCAAATTCCTAAGTATAATATAGCAAAACATAGAGTAAATCCTAAAATGAAAAATTCAGCAAAGTGCATTAAGAGAGGTAGAAGCAATCAAGTCCACGTGGGAAGGTTGGGAGTCTTTATGGAGAAGGTGGCTTCAAGCCAGGCCCTAAAAGCTAAAGGTTTTCTTAGAAGGAGGATGGTATCTGGGGAAATCTGAAAGGAATAACCCAATCATAAACAGGGAGAGGGATGGTAGGGCATAGAACACTCAGGAAGTTGACAGGCTAAAAGGTAGGCTGGGAGCCGTCTGCAGGAATGTTCATGATAAGCCAAACATTCTGGGCTTCAGTCCACAGGCCATGAGAAATCAGTGAGGCTGTGTGAGATCAGGTGACCTGTTCATTCTGGTATAACAGGAAGCAGGGAGAAGAGCCTAGAAGAGAGAATTAGCCTCTGGATTCTTGATAAGAGTATCTGCAAGTAGGACCATGGTCACAGGGATGTTTAAGTCCCTATGCAAACATTTCAAAAAGTGTCCTCCTCTCCCTACCATGTTTTAAAACATGTAGACCCTCAGAGGAGTAACACATTTTAGTTCCCCGCCCCAATACTTTAGATTTTGTGGAAATCAAAAATTGGATTCTAAAATCCAATTTGACTAAATCCTTCAAACTAAAACATTAACATGTTTCAATACGTAAGTACAAACTAAAACATTATCATTCTGAGGAATGAAAAAATAACAAATGACTTTTGGGCAAACTTTATTTCTTAAAATAATATGAATTTGTAAGATAATACCAAGATCATGAGTGATTATCATAATGATACTGGAGATATTTTCCCAGAACGTGACGAGAGCAGATGAGTCGAGGTATCAGTTTGCCTTTAAGCCAGCAGGTCTCAGGGTGCCTGGGTGGCTTAGTCAATTAAGTATCTGACTTTTGCTCAGAGCATGATGTCGCAGTTTGTGAGTTCGAGCCCCACATCGGACTCTGTGCTGACAGCTCAGAGCCTGGAGCCTGCTTCAGATTCTATGTCTCCTTCTCTCTGCCCCTCCCTGCTCATGCTGTCTCGCTCTCTCTCTCTCTCTCTCTCAAAAATAAATAAACATTAAAAAAAATTAAGCTAGAGGTTCTCAATCCTAGCTGCACATTAGAATCATTGGAGGTCTTTTAATTAATCATGTTCAAGCAGGAATACTCAAAATGAGACCCAAGTTGTGGCATGTTTAAGCCCTCTAATGAAGCTAATGTGTAGTTCAGGGATAAACACCCAGAATTAGCCACATTCCCAGTGGACTAGCACTCAAAATTTCACGACTGTTCCTTAATCAGGCCAAGAAAGCACAAGAGTTGTTAAGTTGATTGTAGAATAGGAGGGGAAGACCCTTTTGGACAAAGTCATCGGTTCTCAGTGAAGAGGCCCAGGCTTCTTTTTTTTGGGGGGGGGGGGCGCGTGCAGTGTGATAGTGAGAGGAGAGGTCCTTGCCCAAAACTTATATTCTCAAAGGGCCTTCTTTTAAGACTTTTGATGTTTGCTCTGAGTGAGATTAACTGTTTCAGGGAAATCAGTAAAAAGCGCTGACTTAGCAGCTTTGACATTTTTTCTTCCATACTTGTAATTAACTCAGTGGAATGCATGTTATACTAGGGCATTTGAAAAGTATAAAAAACAACTAGAGGGGACCCAAAGAACTAAACTGAGTGTATTCTAGAATCTTAGAAAACTTAAGAAATGTGTAAATTTCTGGATTAAAGTGTAGAACTGAAGTAAAGTTTCCATTATATTTTGTATACAAGATCTTAAAATAAATGTAAACAGCTCAATTAAATTTGGTGGGTGATATGTGGTTGGTTTTAAGGGTGATATGTGGTTGGTATAAGGGTGGAGGAAGAGTCCTATTTCTAGGTCCTATAACTGAAACCTGTATTCAATCCTTTTGATTACATATACTGATTATGTATTTAACTTATAGTGTATATATGATGTTTGGTTACACGGATTTGTGTATATCAGTTTTTATATGGATTTGCAAATATATGTGTATATATATATACATATATATATATATATATACACACACATATACATAGCCACAGACATAGTCCATATATATATATATAGGCACCTGCACTTATACACATGCTCTTGGAGATAAGTACACATTTATTCATATGTGTACACAGGCTTGCAAATACATATACATATACAGATGACTATATGTGCATGCATATGCACATATAAATGCACATGCATGCACATGGGGGACTAGGAATCAGAATCCTGGATCTGCCAGCAGCCAGTTAGGAGTCTTGGAATAGAGGGTATAAAGGGCCTAATTTTTCTAATCTATCAGTAGAGAACTCCGGTTACATAATCCCAAATTCCCTTCAGTCCAGCTCTAAAAATCTATGTGATTTGGTGGTTTTGTATTCATAAACATGGATCTATATATTCAACTCTTCAGGGAGAACTGATGCTTTCTTATATTTGTATTCATCCCTTTGGTTCTAAATATAATTCCACATGTTTCAAAAAATGATATATTCAGTGACTTCCTAAATTGAGCAACAATGTGTTAAGTCTCTATCCACTTTCTTGGGCAGTGGCGCCCCTCCTGCTCCTCATGTGTTGCTGCAAACGAAGACAGCCCGAAGGCCTGGGGACGAGGTTTGCTCCCGTGCCAGAGGGGGGAGATGGAGTGATGCAGGCCTGGGGAATAGAAGGGGCCCGCCCGGAGGACAGGGTGAGTGGATGGCCATGGTCCAGAGCGGGGTGGGATTTCAGTGCAAGCGAGCATGTCTTGATAATTGTACAACACACAGAAAGAAAACTATGTCATTTGTTATGTGTTTAACATAAAGCATTTATTTCAAAAATGTTTCTCTTTCTTTTCAGGATGTGTCAAATATATGTGTACCAATGACAGCCTCTAATACCCAGGATCGTATAGATTCTTCTGGTCAGTGGACACCAAAATCTGTTTCTTGTTAAAGTTTGCAAAATTATTTAACCTGATTAATTTCATGTATAAGTACCTTTAAAAAAACAGTATATCTGCCAATACTTTTGGATGATAGCATAATGAGAGGGCAAGTAACATGTTTGAAGTCATCGCTTTACTTTTCTTAAACTACAGGCAGTGGAGTATGGCGTAGCAATTTGAAAGGCAAACTCTAGAACCAGAGTGTTTGAGTTTGATCCCCTGCTATGTGCTTGGGCCAGCACTTAATTAATTAATTAATTTCCTTATCTTTGAGACTTAGTTTATGATAACACCTACTTCAAGGTGTCCCTGTAAAGAGCGATACACAGACATATATACATATTATGTATGATATATAATGTTCTTACTATATATTATGTAAGTTACCTATAAATAACTTATATAATATATATCACAAAATATACACATATACATGTACATAAAAATATGTATATATACATTAAAAATATACGTTAGAACAATGCCTTGCACAGACAGCTACCGGAGCCATTATTTGTAATAAAGCTGTTCAAAAATAATAATAATAAGAGAAAAGAAAAAGCAGCAAATATGCTCTTCTAATAATACATTGAAGAATTCTTCTTAAATCCATGCATTTGCATTTGATTAATTTCATGTATAAGTACCTTTAAAAAAACAGTATATCTGCCAATGCAATCCATGCATTTGCCTCACCAGACTTACATTCTCCTAATTTACCAGTTCCATGTACACCTAGGAATACTGTAAAATACTCAACTAGTGGGCAATGAATGAACGAAGTAGAGAGGTTGTCCAATTCTAGGACAAACATGAGATTTCTCAGCAGTGGTTCCTCAGTATTCCAAACCAGACTCTGATACAGAGTCTAAGGTGGCTGAACATTCCTGTGAAAGCCAGCTCTCCCTCCAGCACCGGAGTGAGTGAGGACTGTTTCAGTTTCTGCTGGCCTTGCTGTGGAGCGGTCCTGAGGGGGTACAAGCCCTCTCACACAGGCCAGGGAGCTTGCCAGAGGCAGTGACAGAAGGACTGATGCAGACAGGCAGAGGCCCTGCTCCCCTTGGGTGGCTCCATACCTGTGAGTCTAGGGGATATTTTTGTGCAAATCAGAGGCCAATTCCAAAAGCTGGCTCCCTCTGTACCATTTACTGACTTTTATTTTATGAGGGAACTAAGACTGGGCGGATTTCAAATAGCTCCTGGCCTTGCTTTCCAGGACCTACTCACATGTGTGGTGGTGCAACATGGCAGACAGTGGCTAGCAGGGTTTGACGTGGATGAACAGTGCGGACCACTCAAGCACTGTTCCATGAATCCACACATTCCACGAATGCTCTGTCCTTTCAGAAATCTACACTAACACCTACGCGGGCGGAGGAACGGTTGAAGGGGGTGTGTCAGGAGTGGAACTGAACACAGGCCTTGTGACGGCCGCTGGCATGGCGGCCGGAGGTTCAGCAGGAGCTCGACGGAGGAGGAGTTCCACAATAGGAACCCAGTGGGAATATGCAGACACAGGCCTGAACATGGCTTTCCTGGACAGTTATTTCTCTGAGGTAATCCCCCTGCACACAGTTATACAAAATAGTCTTGAGACTGAGTGATAACAATGATGGCAATAGGTTCTTCTGAAATATATTCAGTTATTCTCTACTCTATTCCAGTCCTGAATAAAAAGTATTTCATTTCTCCTTAGAATACAGAAAGCCAATTTGCCAAAGCATTTCATATTCAATTGACATACATCCATCTTACTATCGTGGAAAAGGCTAGCATCTCTCATTATTCCCTACTTCATTTTTTCCCATTTTTCTGTCTTCTGTCTCTTGCTTTTAGCACTTTGTTTCCCATAGCAGCAGCAAAACAGGAAGATCCTGATCAAGAAAAAAAAAAAAAAAATGTATGCATGTCCTCTCTTTATGGTGTCCTTCCTACCCTGCAGTTACCTCCAATGAAAGAAGAAAAAAATAAATTAAAAACCAGGACTGGGAAAGGAAGAGAATGATAACTCAGAAACAGAGTATCACCATGACTTGGTGATATATCAGGGCCTAGAACCCCGGTCTCCTATTCTCTATCCAGTGCCCCATCCCCAAGGGATCCATGTCCCTCACTAAGAGAAGGGATCATGGGTCTGAGCATCCCAAAGAAGAAAGCTCCATAGGCATTGGGTTGCCCTGACAGGGTGGCACAAAGGGTAAATAAATCCCCTGTGAATCCCTAGTTAGTATGTTTATTTCATTTAATAGCAATCCATTTCATCTCATATTTCAACTAGCCTATTTTATTCCGTATATGGTAATGCATGAGTTATTACCTGCTATTAACAACAACAACAAAAAATTTTAAGGATGTTGTTGTAAATGTAAGCTATTCCTTAAAATTGGTGATTACAAATACCATCACATGAACAGTATTGATTATTTAGATGAGTGATAGATATCACTAAGTACATCCAACAAATGGGCACAAATTATGTGTCATAGAAATGTCATAGAAATTATATTTAATGAACCATTCATAAAATTCACACTAACATTAAAAGTGCCTTACCATTAATGTCCTTTGATTTTTCAAAATTTTTCCTTTGATTACAATTGGTGCCTGATACATTAAATCTCAGGGTTTGTAAGTTTGACCCCACATTGCACTCTGCACTAACAATGCAGGAGTCTACTTAGGATTCTTTCGTCTCTCTGCCCCTCTCCCACTCTCTCTCTCTCAAAACAAACAAACAAACAAAAAACCCAAAAACAAACAAACAAAAAACTTTAAAAAAATGGCACTAGGTTTCAGAGGTGGTGAGATGCAGCCTCTCCCCCTACAAGATAAAACCTCTGCAGAACGTACAGTGTTTCTTTTCTGCCATGTTTTACACCACCACCCTCCACCCCCACAGCCAACTTGTGCCCCGGCAAGGGGGATTATCCTCTTACCGAGGTGTCACTTGAAAATATTAAGCGGCATGTTTATGGTAATACCAAACTCATGAATAATTGCTTTCAAGACTTAAAACCATCCATTTCTAATGGTAGAATTTAGAGTCTCGCATAGACCAGAGGGTAAGCAGCACGATGTAGGGTAAAAAGGGTAGTTGGATTTGAGGTAGCATTCTATGATTATTTGAGTCTGGGGCATGCCATTCACTCTCTCTGGGCTTTCAGTTACCTTATTTATGAAACAGAGAGGGGATAAGATTATGTCAGGCCCCGTAGGATTTCACGGAACCCAACAAGAGCCATAGCAGCTGGAGGAGAGCAGCCACCTCATCGTCTTCCCACAGAGAAGTTCCCTTTCATTAGTTCTATATACAGGGCTCCTACCTAGCATTACATTCAAAGGGTCCATCATTAAAAATAATTTGAAAATCACAGTAGATAACCTTTAGTGCCTTCTTCCTGTTAACCTAACTCCAAAGACATCTTGGCTCTCTTTGCTTCGGTCATGTAAAACCACTGAACATTTGGACATAAGTCTCTGAAGCTTAAAGATACTGACATCTTTATACATGCTGTTATTCCAAGTTGATCAAATATCTCTCTCCTTAAAGAAATAACATGTTGAACATAACTAAATATATTTTGTTATTTCTAGACCCCTCAGAAACAAAAGACTATAAATCCAAAAAAGTTAAAACATTGTCTGACAAATTCAGATTGCCAAAATCTGAATAAAATGCAGAAACTATTAATGTTAGCTTTCAAATAAGAGCAGTTCACATTGATTCAGATTCTGTACACCATTAGTGCCTTCTGATCTCCTTTAAAAATTCCAATTATTTAGAAATACAGCGAAAAATCGTGTTTTTTTCAGTTTATTCCATTATAATCTTCTCAGATCAGACATCTCTAAAGCACTGTTGTTATTCTTTGGTTATTTTAAAGGAAAAGTAACTTTTAACTTCCTGTTTTTCCTCTAATTTTAGAAAGTCTATGCTTATGCAGATGAGGATGAATGTCGGCCTGCAAACGACTGCTTGCTCATTTATGACCACGAGGGAGTAGGGTCTCCTGTTGGCTCCATTGGTTGTTGCAGTTGGATTGTGGATGATTTAGATGAAAGCTACATGGAAACTTTAGACCCAAAATTTAGGACTCTGGCTGAAATCTGCTTAGACACAGAAATTGAACCATTTCCTTCACAGCAGACCTGTATACCTATCAGTACTGACCTGCCTTTGCTGGGGCCTAATTATTTTGTTAATGAATCTTCAGGAATGACCCTCTCAGAAGCTGAATTCCAGGCAGAAATGGCAATACCGGAACCCATGATCCACGGGGATATCGTAGTGACAGAGACTTACACAACAGCTGACCCATGTGTGCAACCCACAACAATTGTTTTCGATCCTCAGCTTGCACCCAATGTTGTAGTGACCGAAACAGTAATGGCACCTGTCTATGACGTTCAAGGGAATATCTGCATACCTGCTGAGTTAGCCAACACGCACAATGTAATCTATGCCGAGAGAGTGCTGTCTAGTCCTGGTATGCCTGACACGAGCAACGGTAGCATGACTGATGGCTGTATGGGGCCTGTAATGAGTGGCAGTATTTTGGTAGGGCCAGAAATTCAAGTGACACAAATGATGAGTCCCAACATTCACGTAAGTCAAACCACTGGCTCCACATCTCCAATGACATCTCGACACAGAGTAACACGATATAGTAACATACATTACTCCCAACAGTAAGTGCTTTTGGTCAGTATTCTATATGGACACCTTGCACCTAGTGATCACCAACATATCCATCAAAGATGTATAATGTACTATATTTAACATTTTAGCAGCCGACAAATATTTGAACATTCTAAGATCAATGCCACTCTTTGAATATATCTTTGGGGCGGGGGGAGAATATGGCTAAGCACTTTAGATAAGCCTTTTGTAATTCTTTCTGGTTTTAAATAATGTGCCAAAAAACTTAAAGAAAATATTTTATATCCTTCGATACTGTCTAATAAATAGCACATAACTCATAAGGTGAATCTTAGAGGTCTTCAGCCCTATAGGACTGGTCATGTGAACCAGGATGCTCTTGTTCTTAGAGGTTGCAAAAGAAATCTTGCCTGCATTTGCCAGGCAAATACCTTTAGAGAAATATTTCTATTAAAAATTTTTAATTGAAAAAGTGAATGAAGTATACATTTCTGAAAGAAGATTTAAGAGGAAAATAGAGCATCTATCATTAGACATCTGAAGTCATTTGTTCGGTTTTTCAAGATATGCAATATTTAGGGCATGGTTAATATAATACAGGGAAAGTGTTTGCCAGCTGAATGCACCACTGAAAATGGTTCACCGAAAAGAATTATATATATATAAATAGATATGCATATATACATAAATCAATATGGATGAATGTGTATCGCACTTTATTGATTTATATCAGTAACTGTAAAATAATTTGTGATAGTCAAAAGAATTATGACAATGATGAAGTATAAACAGTTCTTAGGGAAAGTATTAGAGTATTTCCTTCTTAAGGGGAATGTTTTCTCTATTCTTGCTAATTATGTCAAAAAACCATATGAAATATGGTTTACTCGGTTTCAGTGACCTGAGTCATAGAGCTTTCATTTGGCAATCAGATAGTCTCCAAAGCACCTCTGTAGTCATGCACGTATTCAACAATATTTACTTAGAAGCTATTATGTGTGGAGTGTTGGTCTTGTCTCCGTGAATATATAGGGGAAGAAGACAAACATGATTTCTCACTTCATAGAACTTCTAACTCATTTCTAGACTTAAAACCCTGGGGATACAGCTTTGGGTTCCTACCAAGAATAAGTAACAAAATATTTAAGTCCACTACCAAGTTGTGTTTCTCTTTTTAACATTGCTGCTTCTGCTGAATGAATGAAATGGAAACACTTGCACAGATTGCTACTCCTTGTAGGTATAAAGTGGGCTTGTGAAAGAGAGGTTCTAGCAAGATAGTTTTATTTAATTCTGTAAAATATGTAAACTGTATACTGGTAACTATAATATGACCAGTAAGACAATGTAAATGAAATAAACTTATTGTCAGGGCTTATTCCTTTTGGAAGGAAATAACCTCATTGCTTCTTGATTTGTTCCTTTATAACTAAAACTAGTGTAGAATTTGGAGCATCACACATAACCTCTTGCCCAATTCTCTTATTTGACAGAAGAGGAATCTAGAACTAGAGAGGTAAAATGACCACAACCTGCTGGTTGTGGTACAATGTGGTACAAAACCTTGAGGCCATTGCTTGGGCATTCTGGCCAGTGTTTCAATGTTGTAACTTCATCAGACACGGAGAGGATCTAGTTTGGTCTGTTGCAGGGTCTTTGCTATTTCCTACTTGGAAGAAAAACTATCTCTCAAAAAAAAAAAAATGGGTTTTGTGAAGTTTAAATGCTGAATGGCTAGAACGGTATAATGCCAGAAGGTTATTTACATGTTTTCTCATCTTTTCCAAATCACGTGTGTTACCAGTTGTTATAGTCATTCTTTACCGTAGTTATTCACAACCAAGATTCTGCTACATTTCATAACTCCATAATTTGACGAATCCATAGGGTAGCCAAGGAGCATCAGTACCGTGGTCATTTTAACAGTCCCAGCCACGTAACATCTCACATGCACTCAGTCCTGTGGCATATCCTGATGTGGATATTCTGCTTTTGAACTGTGCATGTTATTGGGACAATAATTTTATAAATTATGAAAAAAACTAGTAAATAATTAAATGTAAGGTGCTAACAGTATTAAAACTGAAAATACTTTAAGACTGAGAAATTAAGAAAATAGTACTAAGCATAAGAATTTCACCGAAATCTCTTGTGAGAAGGGTAAGAAAATTTCTTTGTGAACTTTTCCTTCCATCAATACACAAAGATTTAAGGGTGCTTCCAAAAGAGAAAATGTACATCTGGTGGATGTCTTCCCTAATACTATTCATGGAAACAAGACCAGAACCATTTCATTTTCTCTTTTAACATTATCAGTGAGGAGAACTCCATTATTCCAAGACGGTCAGTATCACTCATATATGACTTAAATCTCTGAAATTGGTATATTTTTAAAATATCAAACAAAACAGAAAGTGGAAAGCAAGATTTCCCCTTCACTGCTGAAGAGCTAGGATACTGATTTATGTAGGAGATAAAGCTGATACAGCATTTATTTTAAGGTTTGAAAATGAACCCAGAAGCCCAAGAAATGAGATTTAATGAATAAATATAATAATGTATAATTTCAGTCATATCTCTTACCCTATGCAATTGCCTGTAGGGAAAGCATTCAAATGCATAAATGGGTTCTCTCAGAAAAGTCTTGTTAGGTGAAGGGAGAGGAAGACATTAAGAAAACAGAGTATTTTATAACCTTGTTTCCAAAAAAAAATTATTTAAAAAAATTTCCTCTTTTGGATTAGATATTTCTGATTGCAATGTATTCCTGACTGTAATAGTGTTTTATATATTTCTTCAATAAAAAATATGTGATAAGGAAAGAAACATTTCATTTTCTCTTTGGTGCATGTAGTGTTCTACACGCAAACATACATCCAGAAAACCTTTTTCCCATCGTGTTACTAGGTGATTATCATCTCTATCATGATGTATATAATACAGGAGCATGGATTCATTTGTAAAATGAAATTCAGAATAATTCATTTACTCACCAATGATAAAATTTCTCAGTAAAATCATTATTTTCTTAGTAGATGCTCACTATAAACGTTAGTTTAGTCAACAAGTCAACTGAATAAATTCCAGAAATTGCTCTAAACATTGTATGCGTTACAGAATTAAATATCCTCTTTTCCCACTGGATTTAAATTCAGTAAAATTATCGTTATTGTTCCTCTTTTACCAGAGGTACTAATTTCTGTTGAAGTAAGAAAAGAATAATTAATTTCAATAAGGGGAATTAAGGAAGGCTCCTTGAAGATGGTGAGATCTGGGCTAGGCCAAATAGAATGTCATCTGACAGGGATTCCAAAGGCATAAAAACTAAAAACAGCATATTCAAAGAATATTAAGTGGTCAAATTAAACATAATAAAAAAAGTCTGAAACAAAATAGGCATTATAAAATTATTTCATAGTCAGCCATTTTATATGATGTTTACTATACCAATTACTCAAAATGTATTAGCCTATTGAATTCTTTTTTTTTTAATTTTTTTTATAACATTTATTTATTTTTGATTTTTTTTTCAACTTCTTTTATTTATTTTTGGGACAGAGAGAGACAGAGCATGAACAGGGGAGGGGCAGAGAGAGAAGGAGACACAGAATCGGAAACAGGCTCCAGGCTCCGAGTCATCAGCCCAGAGCCTGACGCGGGGCTCGAACCCACGGACCACAAGATCGTGACCTGGCTGAAATCGGATGCTTAACCGACTGCGCCACCCAGGCGCCCCCATTTATTTATTTTTGAGACAGAGAGAGACAGAGAACGGGGGAGGGTCAGAGAGAGGGAGACACAGAATCTGAAACAGGCTCCAGGCTCCGAGCTGTCAGCACAGAGCCCGACGCAGGGCTCGAACTCACAGCCCTCACGGACCGTGAGATCATGACCTGAGCTGAAGTCGGCCGCCCAACTGACTGAGCCACCCAGGTGCCCCTAGCCTATTGAATTCTTAAAACCACACCACGCGGTATGACTGATATCCACGTCATACATGAAGACACTAAAGCAAAAAGAATTTCCTATTTTTATGTTAGAGCTTAAGTGAGTAGCAGGATTAAGATTCAAACCCAGGATGGCCTACTCTTATTATTTTTTTTAATTTTTTAATGTTTATTTATTTTTGACAGAGGGAGACAGAGCGTGAGCCAGGAGGGGCAGAGAGAGAGGGACACACAGAATCTGAAGCAGTCTCCAGGATCCAAGCTGTCAGCACAAAGCCGGACACAGGGCTTGAACTCACGAACTACGAGATCATGACCTGAGCTAAAGTCGAACGCTTAACTGATTGAGCCACCCAGGCGCCCCAGGACTACTCTTGTTCTTAAGCTTCGAATTCTTTTGACCTAATTCTGAAAGGATATGTGAGAAAGGCACATGGTAAAGAATCTTGAATCCCATTAGGGGTTTGGTTTTAACTTGGTATAAAATGAGGAACAAACGAAATGTTGTGTGCTGGTAAATGGTCAAATGGTGTTATTTTATGAGATGACACTGGGGCAGCCACCAGGAGTCCTCATGATAGTTGGTGTGTTGTTGATTACAGAGATGCCCTTGAGGCCAGATTACTGAGGCAGAGAGCCTAGGATCTTATGAAAAGGCAACATTCCAAGGTGAGCCTGGTGGCTCTAAAGCGTCAGAGATCCTCTTGGACGACCACTGCAATGAGCAGGTATATACGTTGGGTGGTCTAAAGTGACCGCAATCAGGGGCGCCTGGGTGGCTCATACGGTTGAACATTTGACTTTTGATTTCAGCTCAGGTCATGATTTCACAGTTCGTGGGATCGAGCCCTGTGTCAGACTCTATGCTGACACTGTAGAACCTGCTTGGGATTCTCTCTCTCCCTCTCTCTTTCTCTGCCCCTCCCCTGCTCATGCTGCTTCTCTCTCTCTCTCTCTTATAAATAAACCTAAAAATTTTTTTAATGTTTAAAAAAAATTTTTTTCAATGTTTATTTATTTTTGAGACAGGGAGAGACAGAACACGAGTAGGGAGGGGTAAAGAGAGGGAGACACAGAATCTGAAGCAGGCTCCAGGCTCCAAGCTGTCAGCACAGAGCCCAACGTGGGACTCGAACTCACAAGCCATGAGATCATGACCTGAGCCAAAGTCGGAGGCTTAACTGACTGAACCACCCAGGCACCCCAGTTAATATTTAAAGTGACTCCAAAGTTTTTCTACACTGAATGCCTTTTACTTTTTTTTTTTTTTAACTTTAAGTGAGGTGCATGTACTATTTTCAGTTTCTAGAATAGGGCATGCTTTTTCATACCTCTGTCACTCTGCCCCTCCCTGGTTCTTTTACCTGGAGCCCTCTTCACTCTCCTCATCTAAGTAGCTTGTTTCTCCTTACCCTTCAACACTCACCTCAAGCATTGCCACTTCTTGGGAGCATTTCCTGATATCTCTTTCACAGCCCCAACCTGCTGGCTTAGCTAAGTCTCCTTTACTCCCACCAGCAACACGCTATTTGTCCTATGCCTATCAGCCTATGAGCGCCTTGAGAACAAGGGCACTGCTTTTCTCCAGGATTAACAGAATGTCTAGGACACAGCATGCACTCATTAATCTTAGAAGTGAAGAAAATGAGGTTAGAGTGGGAGAGAGCCAAAGCATAAGAGACTCTTAAAAACTGAGAACAAACTGAGGGGCATTGAAGAGGGCATCTTTTGGGATGAGCACTGGGTGTTGTATGGAAACAAATTTGACAATAAATTTCATATATATATATAAAAAAAAGAAGTGAAGAATATAGTCCAATTCTCTCAGGCATCTAAAAGGAAATGTCTGCAATTCAACAACATAGCCTCTTGATAGCAGCCCTTTGAATGATCTTTGAAATGCTTGTGTAAATGCCACTCTTAGCAAGAAAATGCAAGTATATAACTCACAAAGACAGTTAATTTCAGGAGAAATTTACCTTTTGCAGAAAAAGTAATAAAGCTATTGAAAACCTTATGTGCTTTTTGAAAGAAGCTATGTTATAGCTGAATAAAATAAATGTTAAAATGTTACAGAGAAAGAGATTTTAGGCAGGATAAATACTTCAGAAGAAAGTTAAAATTTCTGAAACTTTGAGAGACTGCTGATAATAAGGTTACCTTCATTAGAGCAATTGATTGTGGGTTTTTTTCTCTTTCAAAACCATGTATTCCATGTAAGTTTGGTAACAAAATGTGTGTGTGTGTGTGTGTGTGTGTACATGTGTCTAAGTCATAGAGTATACAGCAAGAAAAATACGAGTTCCTAGTATTAAGATAAAGGTTCTTAACTTTTCATCAAAACAACCATGAACATCAAATAAATGAACCCTAAAAATTGCACTTATTTGTTACATGGAAAATAACTCATTCCCAAAAAAACTCATTTACTGTCACTAATTATGGTATAATTTCTTGAACATTGCAATGTTCAAATGGTTGTTACAATATTTTAAACATGGACTAAATATGAAGCACAGGTAATGAAAATTAATTTGCTAAGACAACTTCTTTAAATTCTATTTCAACTTGTTTGAAATGACAGTAAGACTGAAGAAACAATTCACATTGGGAAGGGATCCCTGGCAGGGGGGTGCTGGTGCTTTTGTGGATTGCTAAGAAAGTAAATAAACAAAAGATTGTGAGTGTCTTATCATTTTAAAAAATAATAAAGGAAAAGGCAATAAAACCCTATTAATCACAAATATAAATTTTCCTTTACGGGGCACCTGGGTGGCTCACTCGGTTGAGCGTCCGACTTCAGCTCAGGTCACGATCTCGCGGTCCGTGAGTTCGAGCCCCGCGTCGGGCTCTGTGCTGACTGCTCAGAGCCTGGAGCCTGTTTCAGATTCTTTGTCTCCCTCTCTCTCTGCCCTTCCCCCGTTCATGCTCTGTCTCTCTCTGTCCCAAAAATAAATAAACGTTAAAAAAAATTAAAAGAAAAATAAAAAATTCTCCTTTACAGACAGAGATAGCAATTATGGGGACCTGAACTGCCAGCCGGCAGGCAGGCAGGCATCCTGTGCTACCACAAAGTACTTGTTCATCAGCTCCTGTGTGGGTGAAACCGTGCACAGAAAGGCAACATAAAGGTGCCAATATATAATGTGGATAAAGTAGGTTGAATCAAAGTGGAACAAATGAAAACTGAGGACAACCTATATTTACTGTTGTTGGCATAAAAGACCAACTCTCAGCATTGAAAAGTTTTTCTCAAAAAGAGGGTCACACTTAGGTTAGGAATCCATAAAGCTGAGTTTCTCTGTGATTAGCAAGATGACTAAGTCACAGGTAAGAGAGATGCTGACTGTGTGCTTAACGGGGAGGCAGTGAATATGTGTGGTGAGTGATGGTGAGGTGTTGGTACAAGAGTCATAGCACATGCATGTGATCAGCATAACCACTGGTTGACTGGGGAGACTTCATTACACATTTGAATACACGGGAGGCACTGACTGGGTGGGGACTTTGGTATCAGTGAGACATGAGCCACCAGGTGTGAGAAACATGAAACTAGAGAGGTGTTGTAAAGAGAGAAGAATAAAAAACCAAATGTTTCTTTATTATCATATGCCAGCCATTATGCTAGTTGATTTTCAAACATATTCTTATTTAATACACCTATGTTCTTCCTTTATAGATGGAGAAAATTAAGAGAAAGAAAAGTTACAGGAACACCGTGACTTCATTCCAAAGCTCATTCATTCATTCATTCAATGATGTTTGATCATTTCACTATTTACCTGTGAGCTAACTGCTAGGAGCAGAGAGGTGAACTAAGGTCCTTGACACCAAGGACCTCACAATTCAATGCAGGAAGAAGTAAAGAGTTAAAATGCA